GTTTGGAAGGTGGGATGGTTGTTGAACGATGAGGTGGCATACCATGAGTTAAGGGAGATGTAAAATAAACGTCAAATATGGAATAAAATAAAATAAAATGAGTGACAATTGCTAACACAATAAATTGATACTGATACATGGTCCTAAAAAGTAAGAGGAAAACGAAACCTACCTGTGTATATCACCATAAAAAGGAAAGGCTGAATAAATTATTTTATCATAGTTCCGATTACTTAAGCTTAGTTTTGAAAATTGCCCATGCTCGTGTCCACTTGGTTTCATGCCTTTTAGAAATCAACCATCGATACGAGTCATCATACTATTATTCAAAGTTAGAAATTCTCTCTAATGAAATTCTACGGAGAGAAGTTTTGTTCTCACAAAGCTTTAACTGAGAAAAAAATTGTATATATATTTTTTTTTGGTCAAATGCCGCATAAGCAAATACGAAATAGGTAACAAAGCAAAAACAAACATGAATATTCATTGCCATAAAAAAAACTTCAACTGTTGCATTGAAAACTGTGTTATCAGAAAAAGGTATATGCTTATAAAATTTGCCTGATAGACTTGATAAATACATAGCAAGAAATAAATAACAAAAACTCATTTTTTCACAAAAAAAATGAAACAGTCAAACTGAGAAAATGTTCAAAAAGTACAAAAAATTAATCTATTATTTGTACAAAAACAAAAAATTATAAAATACGTATATAAAAAAAAACACGACAATGCGCCAAAAACGCGCAATGGGTTGACTACAATTCGTATTAAGTAATAATTGATTGAGATAGAAAAACAGCAAATGAAAAAGCAACAACAGATACAACCGTTAGTAAGTATAAAACAACAAAAGTAGGAGCAGCAAAAAGAAAGTATCTGAACGTGCATGTATTATTCAAAGTAGCAGCGCCATTTGATGTATTAAATAAATTAGTCCTGCATTATATATAGCGATCACGTTGCTGAAGAAAACAAAATAATCCAAGTGCAGAAACAATACTAAAACCCTAAAATAAACAATACACTAACGTTAAACATCAGAGCACGTATATGTTTTTGCTTACTTCGACAAAAACAAGGACAAAAGCTAATATTCCAACAATCATTAAATTTCGATTAATTTCTAATTGAATCATATTGAAACAACCCTGAGTAAAAATAAGCAATAAACTCAATATGTAGTGGCAAGACTCGTTGTATCGACCTTACCTCTGTAAAGATAAGACCGTATGTTTCATTATAAACAATTTGTTTTCCACAATCAGCTTTCTCTTCAATACAGCATGAATCCGGTACATATGTTTGACCAGCCCAAATATCAGCTGTAAACCAATCACGATATTCATCAATACCACAACAATGTAACTAAAACAGAAAAAAAATATTTTAAGATAGGCAAATCAGATAAAATTAGAAGTCAACATGAACAAGGTTTTAGTCGTGTTTTATATACTAAGGACATGTGTCAATCTAAACTATTTTCAATCAGATGTTAAAAGCTATTGAACACTTCTCAGTGAGTTGGTGACTAGAGCGACACTCTTTTCAAGAACTCATAATAATTTTTGAAAATAATTCATATGAAATGACATACTCGTTTTTGTATAGAATTCATTGTTTTTCGAAAATTGTTTGGATCATGTCCTTCTTCTCCAGGATATTTTCGAATACTTAATAATAATTCTTTACGAGCAGCCACGGAAACCTGTAAAAGAGAATATTAGAATGCAGAACTAACAGATAAATATAGGAGATGATCATACTTTTTCACTGAAAGCAATAATGAATACAACGCCAATAAGTAATGCAACAAACAGGATTATCATAGTGATCACGTACTAAAAACAAATATATCATTTAGTTTAAAACTCGAGGACGAAATAATCTAAGCTCTCCCTACCACAAGGAGTAAAGTTTTCTTTTCAAACCAAGCACCCACACAACCAATAGCACCGAGTATCACTGAGAGTTTAGCTAAAAAAATTAAGGGAAAAAGGATCACAAGAATTCATAGGAATAAATTTGGTTAATACCTGACACAATTAATACAATAGGTGCTGTAAAAACCCTATTTCCCATAAACGGTCGATACTCCATCGATGCGAAATGTATCCAAACACTCACACTTAAAACGGAAAGTCCAAATACCTAAATGAAATTAGAAATAATATGATCTCTTCTCATAGTGGTGTTTTAAAAGAAAATAACAACTTACAAAAAAGCAAATATTGATGACAGTGAATAAACATCGAAATATCATATAAGTTGAAGACATTGTAGATGATGAGGAAGAACAATAAATTATAATGAAAACACAGTTGTTGTATTGTCTAAAACTAATCAGAGTGAAGTTTCGGACTTATAATTCTTTCCTTGAACACGATTACAGTTATTTGCTCGCAATCTACAAGCAATATCCTCTTTTCTTTCTCATAAAAGAGATATTTTTGTAGTACGAGTTTCATGGTCCTTTTTATATTCTAGTACTGGAGAAATATTTAGTACAGCGTTATTAATAAGTGGTGGGCCAAGCGAGAGTAAATTTTTTGATTTTGACCAACAAATGTTTAAATGTTTGTCACTTCTTTCACGAGAAAGAAAATCAAACTTTTGATGTTCACAGCAAAATGGAAAGAAAAATTGTTATTCAAAACGCTGATTCAGTAATTTTGGCTACTTTTACAATCAACCTGTTTATTTTACTTCTATTATTTCATTTCATTTTTTTACTTCCTCTCTTTTTTAATCATACGAGACTCCTCGTTTGGATTCGTCATTTGACTACAGTGAAAACTAATCAATTTAGAAGATGGCGCTGTAGGATATCAAAATTCATGTCTTCTTCTAGTTGCTTCGAAATCGTTGAAGGTCAATTGGATACTAATTACCTCTGATATTTACTATGATCCAAAAGTGCACAATCAAAACGAGCAAAGATCGTCAAATCTTTGACTGTAACGATTCACCGACTCTTCCGCGAACGACTCTAACGCGAACCGGCGATTCCGCGAATTTTTGTGAATAAATATAAAGAAAATTAAACATTAGAAAACTAACAAAGCAACGCGTATTACTGAACGTATTCGTTAAAAAAATTTTAATACAAGCTTCATCTTGAACCAGAGATTATCGCGCGTAACAGAATGTTTTTTTTTATTAATTATCAATTTTAGAAAATTGGCTGTCATTTTTTTTTTAACATATACAAAAGATCTCAAAATTTTACTTAAAAAGAAGCTTGAAAATTTCAAAAACCAATCTCTTGCAGGGCAAATCAAGGAATTTGTTGTTGTCCTGTCCTGCGATGGTCTTTGTCTTGAACTACTGACATACCAGATAAGTACACTGTCAGAAATACCTAAGTTTGTATTATTAAAAGTTCGGGTACGGTTCGCGGAAGAGTCGTGTCACGGTCTATAACATCAAACGATTGAACGAACTGCAAAAAGCAGTCTTTACATTTATACAACATTATATTAGAATCTTTTTGATAATTCCTATGAAATGATTTATCATCTGAATGAAAGTTCGAACGAATTCGAAAAAAGAAATCAGTTTGAGCGTCTTTAAATATTTTACACTGTAATCTTGAATTATTTTCAATTTTATAGAAAATCGAATATAAAATCCCTGAGGATTTTCAAACTTATAGAAAATCCTCACCGACTTTTCAACTTTATAGAAAATGTTGATTTTCAAGATTCTTGAGAATCGACTCGCTTTTCTATAAACGTGTTTGAATTAAAATCCTTTGTATTCGAACTTTTTAAAAGCAGTAAGAAGAGAAAAACCTTAAAAATATTTCCACTCATAGGTGGAACATGTTGAAGGCGTGTACATATTTAGAGGTTTTTCAAACTCTACTTCCTTTACAGCAATGTTTTAATTATTTGATTTCAACGACCAGACATCCTAGGACAAGAGAAAAAACAAACTTCTGACGTTGGGTGACTCAACTTGAGTCATTGTTTTAATACGTTAGTTTTATAGATTTAAACATGTTAAAAAGTTTGAAATATTCCAGATGTTTGTGACGCATTTGAATTAGTTTGCATGTTATAGGGCCGTCTATCCTGTGGGATGTTTGAGGCACAACCTACTGAATGTACTTGAGATCAAGTACTTATCTACTTGCAAATTATTTTCTAAAGTACTTGGTTAAGCACTTGTCAAACACTTTTAGATTTAATACGTGCCAAGTACTTGGAAGAACTTCGGGCACTTGCATATATTTTGCAAGTACTTACCAAGTTACCTGCCAAATATTTGATGAAGTATTCATAATACTTATACTTGTTAAAATACTTGATAAGTACCTTGTTTACTTGCAAAAAACTCCAGGAACTCTGGACATTACTTACCAAAGTACTTTTCTAAGTTCACGGTTAGAAAAAATATTATTCCAGGGGGGTAACACCATCATTTTAAATAGAGTAGATGATGAATTTTATACCAAATGAAAGCCCGTGAAAAACGGGATTTATTGATACCAAACAGTAAGGGTTATGAAGACCTTA